GTTTTTTTTCTGTCCTACCCAATATACTCATATCTACCAAGCTAAGTAAATTTTACCAACATACAACCCTTTCAGTCTCCACCACAATTCATCCTGCATTAGACCACTTGGGTTAGACCCTACATGCACTCTAAATGGACAAATGGGTTGAAGCATTTCTGATTTTCTTCTCAGTTTTCCTCCACTCCAATATGCCATGTTCCCCCTCCCCTAGTTAATCACTTTAGTGATTCCCCCATTTTTCTCAGAGTCATTTCTGCACTAAAGCTGACAGCACTCATCAGTTATGGTCTCTTCTTTTCCCTTCATCTATTCAAATAATACCCGATTTTTAATTTGAGCTAAATTGTCACCTCTTTCATGTGACCTTCTTCAATTACAACCATTCATGACTGTTCTTTTTCTTTTCTGAATTCTTCTTTTATTTCAATACAACACTACAAAGTTCAGTTCTTAATCTCTCTCAAATTGTTTTATATAAGTCATTTTTTTCTCAAAGCCCTATCTGACTAATTGCTGATGTATGATGGACATCCATTCAGAGGTAGCAGTAGCTGTAGATTCCCAATAATTATTAATGAATGGGCATAATGATTAAATACATATGGGGAGTATGCCCTACACTAATCCTGAAAATGATTTCACAACCAATGTGCTTAACAAAATACATGGGATTGATTAAAAACCTTCCTTGAAATGGGTAAGAAGTACATAATGTGTCAAAAATGTGTGGCTGTAAGTCAATAAGCACTTAAGTGTTTTACTATGTGTCAGGTACTCTGCTATGGACTGTATATGCTTATGATCAGTATGCAGGTCCAAATGGTTAGATTGTTCATTGGGTGGGACTATATTTTTCCCCTGTGGGAACATATTATGGAAATTATAATGGAAGTTGGGAAAATAAAATTCCTTTGAAAATATTTTACATATGAATACACACATTAAAAAATATGTCTATAACAAATAGTTCAGGCAACTTGTGTTCAATAGGAGTAACACTTTCCTGCCCCAGGAGGATCACCCAATCATATCCATCACCAAATGGGTTTTATCTAATGACAATGCTCACTCTTAGGACTAATTCAGCAGAAATTCTATGACTTTTACATGCCCCAGGAGAGACTCTAATTCTCTCAATTCTCCTTTTTCATGTGATAGGCCCTGAGGTCCCCTTACCATAGGAAATAGTATTTATTCATGGTCTGTATTAGAAAGAAGAGTTCACTTGGGAAATGGTGCAGCCCAAATGTTTCAGAACCCTGGTATTGTCGTAGGGAGTTCAGCCTCATAAAATTGTTTGCATAACCGTAATTGTCAGCCTGTCTGGGTAGCTGTTTACTGAACTGGAGGGTTATAGTTTGAAAGCACAAGATCTCTGTAAGTATTCTCGCTTCCTTGTCAAAGATTTTGGGAGGTAGGAGATTGGGGATAGGTGCAGAGCTACACTAGTTCTCATTGATTTGCTTAATACAGACACAATCCCCACTCTTTGATGATGTCCAGGTGGACTGAAATATCACAGTGACTGACTGAAAAAAATAACTAGAAAGTATACCTGTAGAAAAGAAATCTAGAAGGAGATGCTAGAAATTTAAACTACCTCCTAACCCAGCCACTTGAGTTTGGAATAACAACACTATTTTTTGCTTAGAAAGATTCAAATATGGAGAAATATTGATTTGGAGCCATGGGATGACTGAGGGTCTGTTACACAATTAAATGACTCAATAGGATATCCACAAATATATTCTTTATTTTCTTTAGTCAGTAGAATCTCTGTAGGGATGGTCTCTGTGATACGTACTGAAATTACCATGGTCACAGAATAACAAAATTTGAGAATTGGAAAGGACCTCAGCAACCATCTAGCCGAACACATACGGAAAAAGAATCCCCACTATGACATACCTGACAAATGATAATCTAGCCTCTGCTTGAAAATCTCCAAAGAAGGAGAATAATTATATCCTTCCATAGGATAAGACTTCCATACAGTGAGCTATTCTTTATTTCCTTAGCTATTGAAACACCTAGGAATGGTGAAGGGAGAAACTATGGTATATAGTGACATGGTCACCATTTATATAATCCATCTGCTCCCCTTACAAATGGGACTAGTGATAAAAAAATCTGATTGACATGGTTGAAAGTGACAGGGTAAGACATCTATCAAGGGCACTTTTGATACCTCTATCCAATGGGATGCTTTGGAGAGGGAGTGCCATGGTTATTAGTGAGTTGACCACCATGCTGATAATGACCAGGCTGCATCATGCACCAATGATGTATTGAAATGTAAGCAGGGAAAGGTAAGGAAAGCAGGACCTCATGTCCAAACTTTTCCTTGACATCTGTTTCTATACAGTTCATCCATCAGTTTTATCTTTGACCTGCTTAAGTAGCTCAAGGGACATGACTGATGTCACCTCTTTTATTTTCATCTAAATTATAATTATATATTTTGAAATTATGAACTGAAACATCAACCAAATGATTATTTCAATATGCAAAGACTAGAAATAAACATTGTATATAAAATTATGAACTTCTCCAATTATTTTAATTACATATGTTAAATTAAACATGATAGTAATGAAATTGCCTTGCTTATTTATATCTCCTTCAAAATTCATTCTGCTCTCTATTCTATATTTTGTGCTTTATTCATGTTCTTTCCTTTCTTTTTATTTCACTAATATCACGACCCAACATCTCTCTCACCTGTAATAGAAGACCTCCCTTATATCAAACAAGTACAGTCAAGCAAAACAAATCCACAATTGATCATGTCTGAAAAGACATGTCAAGTTGAGTTAACAAGCATTTATTGAAGAATTGCTTTGTGTCAGGAACTGTTCTAAGTCTCATACTGTTCATCTGGTCTACAACTTCTCTGCCAAGAGTTGGAAGGCATGTTTCATCCTTAGTTTTCTCAAGTCATGGTTAGTTATTGATCAGAGTTCTTAAATCTTTTAAAGTTGTTTAACTTTACATAATTGTATTCAATAAATAGTTTTCCTGGTTCTGCTCATTTTATTCTGCATCAGTTAATGCAAGTTTTTCAGATTTTTAAAAAATCTGTTCTTTTGGTCATCTTTTATTGCACACAACTATTGATTTACATTTATGTCCCTTAATTTCATTGTCAATTCCTAGTTGATGAGTAATCTCTTTGCAGTTCTTTGTTATAACAAAAAGTTGTTATAAAAATATTTGTGTGTATGGGTTTCTCTTTCTGTCATTGCCGGCTTTGGGGTATATAACTAAATATGGTATAGCTGGGTCAAAGTGATCCAATTTTAGTCAGTTTGGGGGTATAGTTCCAAAGTGTTTTCCAAAATGGTTTGATCAATTCCCAGCTCCACCAGCAGTGAATTAGTATGCCTCCCCACTCAAAGGCCCTCAAGAAATTTGACATTTTTTCCCACTAATCTGTGTCAATGAAATTTTGGATTTTTTACAATTGCTTTTGTCTTATTATCAGTGATTTGGAGCCTCTTTTCATAGCTTATTGATACCTTGAATTTCTTCTTTTGCAAGTTGCATGTTCGTAACAATTTCCATGCTGTGATTCCAATAAATACCAACAAGTCAGGGATGGAAGGTGGAGGGGGTAGGAGCTGATACTTTTGTAGTCCTTTCTCCATCTTTCCCATAAAAATTATTATTTAAATCTTGATATACACTCTTTCTAACACATTCCCTATAAAAGGCCACCTACTTTCCAGCTAATAGTTGGAGCACCCATAGTCCCTTACCCCCGGTGAGGTTATGAGAACATATGAGAACAAGTTTAGAGGGAGGGTAGAAGGACACTGGAAACTTTTTTTTTTACTGCTGCCAGAACCCTTACAATTTTTCCACTATGGGTTCATTAAGTCCTGCCCTTGAACCAGCACCAGGAAATAGTCTTAATTTCAAAACTTCACTAGCAGCTCAAAGATTAAAAAAAAACCACTTCAGAAGGTGATGAGTCTCCCAAGACTGAAGGCTTTCAAGGAGAGTCTAGATGACGACTTAAGAAGAGATGTAGATGCCTACTCATGTAGTTTGAAGTCGATGTCCTCTGAGATTTGATAATTCTATAAAAAGCAATTTTATTAACTGTTGGAGGTAACAGAAGAGTTTCAGAGCATTGCACAGCCTTGCATAGAGTGCTAAATGATTTTAATCATTAAAAGCTGATCCTCCTTTCCCCCACTATCTGCTCCCTAGTTTAGCTCTGTACTATTTGGCGACCATATCATCAATGGAGATGATTGCTCTATCTGGGATGCAAAAGCTGTAATTTTGTTCGGTAATGTTTACTGGGCCAGAAAGAAGGTGATGCACTAACCCAGACAACCAAAAAGTCGATACTTTGCGGGCTGGCCAGCTTAGCTGGGCAGAAACTGAAAGAAGAGGAGGGAGGGAAAAACTAAGAAACACAGGATCTCAGAGTTGGAAAGGGACTCAGATGACATCTAATCCAACTGTTACCTAATAATAATAAATAACAATTATATATGCTTTAAGGTTTATAAGACACTTTCCAAATATTATCTCATTCTGTTCTCATAACAACCCTGGGAGGTAGATGCTATTAGTACCCCCCCTTTTACAAATGAGTAAACTAAGATAAAAAGGTTAAAGGATTTGCCCAGGGTCATACAACTAGTAAATGTCTGTGACTGGATTTGAACTCAGGCCTTCTTGATCCCGGGTTGAGTGCTGAATCTGCAGCACCACCTAAGTACCAAAATTGGAAGTCCCTTTATAGAATTCCTGACAGATGGATATCTAACCTCTCTGCTTGAAGAATTTCAGTGAAGAACTTATCATCTCCTAGTGTCTCCTGTTTCATTGTAAGATAGCTCTCATTATTGGAAAAATGTCCTTCTTGTTAAGCCAAAGGAAAAAAAAAACATGATTTAGATGATGTTCATATTAAAGGGGTGGCAATCTAAGGATGAATAATTCTCTTCTTTTTCAGTCTGGCCTTGAACTACCCACCAGCCATGGCACTGTCACCCAACTCCTCAACCCAGGTGACTGAGTTCCTGATGCTCTGTCTCCCTGGGATGCAGGATGTGCAGCACTGGCTGTCTGTACCTTTGACCCCACTGCTGGTGCTGGCCTTGGGAGCCAATATGGTGCTGTTGCTGACTATCCATCAAGAGGCTTCTCTGCATAAACCAATGTACTACCTGCTGGTCATTCTGTCCCTGCTAGATATCATACTCTGCCTCACTGTCGTCCCCAAGGTAAGATTCCTGTTGGAGAGCTCCTACAGAGGTTACTTACTAGCTTTCAGAAGCCACTGACACTGTTATCCTGAGATTCTTTTGTCACCATTAAGCTTAAGCCGGGTCATTTTATTCTATCATCCTCTAGAATTTTCAATCATCACCATCTCTGAGGTAACTCACTGTTCCTGTCACTCCCAAGGTCATATGGCTACAGTTGTTTCCAAAATCATGCAGTAAATCGAGCAAATCAACTTGATTTTGCATGAACGTTAACACTAGGCAATAACTCAGTTTATCACTACTACTCATGGATCCTAGTATTAGGCAGTCTATAGAAAGAGAAAGTAAAATCTTTGCCTTGAGAAACAGAAAATCCACATGAAGAAATCAGGCAAAAGTTTAAATTAAACAAAAATCTCAATCCACAGCAATGAAAAATTATTGTTATCATGTACTTATCTTTATTGTTATTAATAATATCAACAACAAAAATCATGGTGTAGTGAGGTAGGCCTGATTCAGTCTAATCCCCTGGTAGTTTAGGTCCAAAACTGAAATGATAAGAGGTAATCTTGAGGTTGTAGGTAGGATGTTTGGTGAGAGTTGAGGGCAATGTTACATCAATCTTGGTAGATATTATGGAAATACTTCAAGCTTAGTGACCTGGGGTCATTGCAGAATATATGGAGAACATTGTTTAAGGATGTCCTATCCCTCTACCCCACCTCAGCTGCACACAAAGATGATCATATCCTTGATCTTGCCACCACCTACATATATGCCACCTCCATGTTCAGAAATTCCCAAATCCCCTTATCCAACCACAATCTATTGGCTTTCCATCTCTCCCTCTGCTTTCTCTTACTGAATTCTACTCTTCGTTTTCATTATGACCTCCAACTCCTCACCTTGTAAATTTTCTCCTAAGCCGTCTTGCCTATACTAGCCACTCTCTCCTTTTTTACCCATCTTGACCCTTTGGTGAACCAATTCAACTCTCTACTGTCTTTTTTTCTTGAATCTCTAGACCCCTTATCATGTTGCCTATTACTTTCCTGCCAAGCCTTGTCTTGGATCATTCCTATGATTCCCCAGCTACACATATGCTGTTGAATGAAGATGGAGAAAATCAGGCAACCATTCTGACTGGATCCACTACAAATTTTTGTTACATAATCTCAACTGAGCCCCCACTGCTGCTAAGCAGTCCTTCTATACTTGCCTCATCAAGTCACTATTCCAAATCATTTCATCCCTCCTTAAAACTTTCATGGTTCCTATAGGAATATAAACACAGAACACCTTTTATACAAAGTTAGATCTAAATAGTTGAAGTAATATTTATTGTGCATGGCTAGGTATAGCTAATATAATAAAAATGTCAATTTTACATAATCTATTTATGTAATACCCTCCCAATTAAATTATTAAAAAATTATCTTGAGTCAGAAAAACAATAACAGGGTATATTTGGAAAAGCAGAGGGTCAGGAACTTCAAGGAAACCATGGGAAAAAGATGTGAAGGAATGAGATTCAGTAGTGTCAGACCTTAAACCATATTATAAGGTGAGAGCAGTGTTGAAGTTTAAAATGGATAATTTTGATTATTTTAAATTAAAAATTTCCTGTATAAATAAAACCTATGTAGCCAAGAATACAGGGAGTATAGAAAAATTTGGAAAAAACTCTCATAGCAATCTTCCAGACAGAATGTGATTGGGTCAGAATATTAATGTATAGTAGGAAATGATGAGGTGGCAGATTTAGAAAAATATGGAAAGACTTGGGCTTATGAAGGAAGATGCTATCCACTTACAGAGAAACAGATGACAAGTGGACATAAGCATAATATGGTCTTACATATATGCATTTGAGTATATTTATGGGTATCTATGTGTATGTATGTATGTGTATATATATATATATATATATATATATCTATATATCCATGCTTAATTGTAGCCTTCTTGGGGATAGGAGAGAGACTAAAAAAAAATAAGTAAAAAGTGCATAGCAGAGGACAAAAGAAAACATACAAGGAAGCAAAAAAAAGATGGACAGCTTTGAAAATAATGTGTAATATTTATTACATAGGTTTTCTTGAAATGGAAATTTATTGCTTTATATTAAATCCTGTCTTATGTTTGGCTGTTTATATGGCAATGTTTTTCTTTTCTTTTATTATTTTATATTTAAGTTTAAAATAAATTCAAATACAACGAAAAAATGTTCATGGTTCCTCCACTCCTCTTCAGCTTGACTAATATTTTACAAAAAAAGATTGAGGTCATTCGCCATGAGCTCCATCTCCTGCCATCTTTCCCATCTCATATCACTCATATCCCTTCTGCCACTATCTCATCCTTCACCATGGTCTCATATGATGGGGTGGCCTTACTCCTTTCCAAGGCTAGTCTCTAGACCTGTTAAAGCAATACTATTCCATCCCATTTCCTCCAACACATTGCCTCCTCTGTCATTTTCTCTCTATCACCTATGTTCAATTTCTCCCTGTCTACTGGCTCCTTCACTACTGACTACAAACATGGCCATCTCTTTCTCATCCTCAAAAAACTCTCACTTCATCCTGCCATCTCTGCTAATTATCATCCTATGTATCTTCCACCCTTTGTAGCTAAACTCTTTGGAAAGACCATCTACAACATGTGTTCTTACTTTCTCCCCTTTCATTCTCTTCTTAATCCCCTATAATTTAGCTTCTGACCTTATCATTCCACTGAAACTGCTTTCTCCAGAGAAATGATCACTTAGTTTCCAAATCCAATGGCCTTTTGTCAATCTAAATGTTCCCCTACCTCTTTGCAGCCTTTGACACCTTTCATAAAAGTGTTTTTTCAAGTTTGATTATCTTTGGACTCTTCTCAGAACAGAGTTTCTCAGGTCATTCTTTTGGAGTCATTAGATTTTTAGCCTTGGCTATTTCTGTTTCTGAAGCACCCTGAATGAGATGTGGCTTTCACTGTGGAACCCATTGTGTAAAAGTTGTGTAGGGTGACATCTTTAAAAGATTTATGAGAATCACCCTACCCCAAATGGTACTTGACATTGTTGATCACCCTCTCCTCCTTGATATTCTCATATCTTTAGGTTTTCAGGATACCACTTTCTTCTGGTTCTCCTCCAACCTATCTGACTACTCCTCAGTCTTCTTTGCTGGGTCCTCAATGAGATCTTGCCTTCTAACTATGGGTGTCCCACAGGATTCTGTCCTAGGCCCTCTTCTCCTGCTATACCACTTCATTTGGTGATTTTATCAGCTCCTGTGGATTTAATTATCTTCTCTATGCTGACAATTCTCAAATCTACCTATCTTGCCCCAGCCTCTCTGCCGGCCTCCAATATCATCTCCAACAGTCATTCTGACATCTAATAGCAGAATGTCCAGTATATATCTTAGGCTAAACATGTCCAAAATGGCACTCATTATCTTTCCCTCAAAGGGTAACACAATCATCCCAGTCCTTCAGGATTGCAATCTAGGAACCATTCTCAACTCCTTACTATCTCTCATTCCCCATATCTAATCTCTTGCCAAGGCAGGTCCATTTCACCTTTGAAATATCTCTTAAATATAACCCCTTTTCTCCTCTGATGTTGCCCCTACTCTAGTGCAGGCCCTCATCACCTCATGCCTAGACTATTACAATAGCCTGCTGGTGGATCTGCCTACCTCAAGTTTCTTCCCATTTCAATCCACCCTCCATTCAGCCATTAACATGATTTTCCTAAAGTACAGGTCTAGTCTTACCACCCTGACCATATTGAATAAACTCCCTATCATCTCCAGGATTAAACACAAAATTCTCTGCTTAGCATTCAAAGTCCCTCCTACCTTTTCAGTCTTCTTATACATTATTCCTTATCATTGACTCTGATTCAGTGACACCGGGCCTCCTTTCTTTTCCACGAACAAGACACTCAATCCCTCAGGGCCAGGCATTTTCTCTGGCAGTTCCCCATGATTGGAATGTTCTCTCTCCTCAACTCTTATTACTGGACTCCCTGAAGTCTTAACTAAAATTCTGTCATCTACAGGAGCCTTTTTCAATTCTCTTAATTTTAACATTGTAGTGCATTTCCTCTGTTAATTATTTCCTATTTATTCTATATATGACTGTTCATATACATTTATTTGCCTATTGTCTCCTCCATTAGATTGCGAGCTCCTTAAGAGTAGGGACTGTCTTTTGCCTTCTTTTGTATCCTTAAAGCTTAACAGAATGCCTGTCATATAAGTGCTTAACAAATGTTGATTGACTGATGGATTGCTTTTGCACAGGTCCTACTTATCTTCTGGTTCAACATGAAGCCCATTAGCTTCACAGGCTGTTTCCTACAAATGTTCATGATGAATACCTTTCTACCCATGGAATCTTCTACCCTAGTTGTCATGGCATATGACCGCTATGTTGCTATTTGTCAACCTCTGCACTACCCATCCATCATCACTGAGCAGTTTGTGGTCAAAGCTGCCATATTTATCATCTTAAGAAATTTATTGGTTACACTGCCCACCCCAATCCTAGCTGCCCAGCAGGACTACTGTGCAGGGAATGTAATAGAAAATTGCATTTGTGCCAACATCTCTGTTGTTCTACTGTCTTGTGGGGATATCCATCTTAACAAACTCTACCAGTTTGTGAGCGTCTGGTGCCTGATGGGCTCTGACCTGGTGCTAACTCTCTTCTCTTACTGCTTCATCCTGAAGGCTGTACTGAAGTTACAATCTGTGGCAGTGGCCACAAAGGCCCTGAGCACTTGTGGCTCCCACTTCATCCTTATCTTCTTCTTCTACACATTGCTTGTGGTTCTGGTCATTGCTAATGTGGCCAGAAAGCAAATCCCTCTAGATGTCCCCATCTTTCTCAATGTTCTGCACCACCTCATCCCACCAGCCATCAACCCCATTGTCTATGGAGTTCGAACTCAGGAAATCAAGCATGGTATTTTGAAATTATTGAAAGTTAAGAAGTGAAGAGCCAAGCTATATAGTTCATTTCCCTCAAGACTTAAGGAAACCTGTGGATTGTTCTGAGCCATGGTCTAACCCTGGAACCTTTGAACCCTCAGTCATTCTTTCCTTTCACCCCTAAACCCCATTTCTACCCATACCTTCTTTATTACCCTCAAATCATTGATGGTCAGTTACTCACTCAACCACTAGATGAATAGCCATATGCCAATAACCCATATCAAACTTCACAATTACTCTTTTAAATATTTTAAATATTAAATATTAATTATCCATTGTTCCATGGACATTCTGTGGACAAGAAGTCTGTGTTGTCAAGGTGTTTACAGATATTCATTGTTAATGGGAAGACTGTCAGTAAGGAAATGGATTTAATGGAAGTTAAACATTGGATGAAATATAAGGTCAAACTCATTGAGAAGAGAAGATTATTAAGAAAAAAGAGAGAGAAAAAATTGGAACAGGATTGGAAGAAACAGGGCAGCAATATATCATTTAAGAAATAATCATCTGACAGGAGTTTTAGTTGTACATTCAAATTTAATTCCATTCAATAAATATTTTAAGCATCAGTTATGTACAGAGAGCTATAACTACTGGTCTGCTTATTATTCCACACACAAAATTAGTGCCTTTGCATTGGTTCTCTCCCATTCCTAGAATGTGTGCTCTCCTCATTTTGCCTTATTAGAATACTTGCTTTCATTCAAGGTTTGGCTCAATAGTCACTTTCATTATGAAACTTTTCCTGAAATACCCAGCTATTGTATTCCATCCTCAATCTCATTTTCATTTTGAATATATTATGTGTATATTGGTGTATGTACGTGCTATTTATCCTATTAGAAAGTAAGCTCAATGAGGGCAGGGATTATTCTCACTTCTCTCTTGATAGTCCTAATACTTGGCAAAATGCCTGATACAGAGTAGGCACCTAATGTTAATTGATTGAATGTTCAGTCAGTGAGACATCAGTGGCCTGGCATTCTTGTAACTGACCAATGGCCTGTCATCACAATTAAATATTTAGGGGGTTATTGAAATGTGTTGTGGAAATTTTAACATATCCAAAGCTCATGAAATTGGGGAGAACATTCATCAAAATGAGCAATAAACATGTGATGGTTCCAGAGTGTTTGTGTTTGTGAGGATTGTATAGGCTAATGTGTAAAAGCTGTCCACTAGGTAAGACTACAGCTTTTTTTTTTCATAATTTTTCAATTGGAATGTATTATTGAAGTTATATTGGAAGTCAACGGGAAAATAAAATTCCACATAGCTGTCTCACGTATAACAACAAACTGGCCAATGAGAGCCTAGTCATAAGAGTACATGAGTAATTGTTGAGCCAGCTTCTGGAATTTGTAATATGTGCACAAAATACACATGCTGTCTTCCTAGAAGTGCCTGGCACATATAGGTCCTTAAAAAATGCTTATCAAATTGTGGTGATACGTTCAATAATCCTTGTCTATCTTTTCCTCAGGAGAAGAGTGGATACTGCCGTGTTCTTTCAGTCTATGGCTTTATTAGTATTTTTTAAAAATTTTTTTGAAAAGGTGAATCTTTGCCTACAACCAGAAATTCAAACCCACTCTACACTTTCTTCTAATTTGTTCCTTTAGCACTTGAGGGAACTGCAGCCTCTCATCACATTAGTGGAGTTTGTTAGTTGAAGGTATCAGGTTCTTTAGAACAAAGAGCAAGGTCTTCCCTAGTAGTTAATGTCCTCAGACTTTATTCTTTGCATTCTTCTTCCTTGCCCAGGAGTCCCCTTTGCCACAGACCTCACTTTAAATAGTGGTGAGTATTATGTAAACCTTTCAATTTTAATCCTTGAAGGCTAGATTGTAAGCTATAATCAGAATATTCTTGGATCAAGGAGGTGAAAAGAAAGGGGAGATAGACTATTTGCTCTCTTTTCTTCTTTCTTGTGGTTTCTCCCATTGGTTCTAATTCTTTACAACATGATTAATGTGCAAATACGTCTAATATGAATATATATGTATATATATGCACATATATATACATATATACATACATATATATACATATATACACACACACACACACACACACACATACATATATATTATATATATATAGCCTATATCAGATTGCATGCCATCATGGGGAGAGGGAAGGGAAGAGAGGAGGAGAAAATTTAGAACTCAAAATCTTAAAAGAGTGAATGTTGAAAACTAAAAATAAGTAAATAAATTTTTAAAAATTTCTAAAAATATTAAAATAAAAAAGAAAAGGGAGATAGGAAGGGAAGGCCTCTGTTTATTAGAACCTCCAAAAGCTCCCAAACCACTTAGGTGGTTGGATTACTACCTTTCTAAAAGGGTTAAAAGAATGCTACTTTGTCCCCCAAATACCTTCTCATGTGTGCTAGGAAGTCTCTGCTTAGTCACATGTCCTGAAATCCAATTAAAGAAATCAATGATTTCCAATTTTTTTGAAGAACAATCCTATCAGTTGAAAAAAAAAAACCAAGCCTAATAAATGGCTATGTCAGTGAAAATATACTGAATGGGCAGCATTTCTTGGCTAAGTCACTAATTACTCTTGTCACAACCACTCTCCACCCTCCATCCTCTCATTACAAGGATCAAGGAACTAATCAAAAATTGATTAACCCATTAGCACAAGTATATGGAGATCAGCATAATGGGTGTTACATCATCTCAAAGGCCCAATCCTTCATTTATAAGCCAGAATACATGTTTTTTGGAAGTGGACCAGGCGCATTGCCCAAACTCACCCCTATCCATTCTGTATCGAATGATCCTCACAGGCCCCAGTTCAGCATATCAGGATGGGCTTCCCAGATTACTCCATTACATATGTGATATTTGTGTATGTATATATGTATATATACATTTATGCATATATACGTATATACTTGTATAACTTAATGAGCTATTATTACTAAAATTGTACATCACTAATCACATGCATATATATATATATACACACAATACTTGATAAATATATGCATATATATAGATCCATAATAAATATATGTATGCACATACAAGTTAGTAATAGTTAAAGGACATTAACACATCAACAATTTAAAAATTAGAAAGTACAACTGTTAATAACCTCAAAAATCAGAGAAATGCAAGTGAACATAATTTTCAGATACCACTAATATTAATTAGAATATTAAAAAGTTAAAATATAAAGCCCAGTGTAGGTGGGGTCTGTGGGAAAGTAGGTCCATTAATGTATGTTGGTGGGACTGTGAATTAGTCCAAAGATTTTGAATGACAATATGGCAGTGGTCAACATATTAGTAACAAAACTGACTATATCTTTTGACCCTGTGAATTCACTGATAATTATTCACTCCAAAAACATTAAACAAAAGGGAAAAAAGGAAAGCCTATATAAAATCATTTATGTAAAGAGGATAATTCTTCAAATATTTTGTAAAAATACTTTTGCAAAACATTAACTGTACAAATCTATTACAAAGGGATTTTCAGTAGCAAAATAATTAGAAACAACCTAAATGTCCAGCAATTGAAAAAGGGATAAAAATTATGTTTTTAAGTAATGGAATATTATGCTGCCCCTGAAACAATAACTATGAAACATAGAAGCAGAAATAAAAGACCTACATGACATGAAACATTGTGAAATCAACAAAACTAGAACTGATCACAATTATGAAGATGAAGGAGAAGTAGAAAAAAGGAGGTGAAGTAGGAGGTAGAGGGCCCAAAGTGTACAGACTATTCATTTCCACTTCATAGACCCTTCTTCAGTAACTTCAGAATGCCCTGCTTGATCTCCTGGGTCCGGACACCATAGACAATGGGGTTGAGAGCTGCAGGGATGATATGGTGCAGGACATTGAGCAGGATGGGCACATCAGGAGATACCATCTTTTTGGCCACGTGAGTGAGAACAAAGACCAGCAGGATGGTGCTGAAGAAGAGGATGAGGATGAAGTGGGAACCACATGTACTCATGGCCTTGGCTGCAGCCCCCTTAGCCTTAAGCCTCAGCACAGCTCGAAGAATGAAGGAGTAGGAGAGGAAAATGAGGATGAGGTCAGAACCTAGCAGTGTCCATCCCCCTGCAAACTGGTAGAGACGGTTGATTGTAACATCATTACAAGAGAGTCTGGACACTGACAAGTTGGCACAGATACAATTCTCAATGACATTTTGCTGACAGTAGTGTAGCCGAGCAGAGAGAATAGGGATAGGCACAGTGGCAAGAGCATTCCGGGCCACTATGAAAATGGCAGCCTTGCCAACAAATTCATCAGTGATAATGGATGGGTAGCGTAGTGGGTGGCAGATGGCAACATATCTATCATATGCCATTATCAAGAAGGTACAAGACTCCATGGCCAGGAAGCAGTTCATGATATACATCTGGAGGAAACAGGCTGAGAAGCTTATGGGTCTGAGGTCAAACCAGAAGATGAGCAGGACCTTGGGGATGACAGTGAGGCAGAGCACAATGTCCAGCAGGGAAAGAAGGCTGAGCAGGTAGTACATGGGCTCGTGCAGAGAGGCCTCCAATCGGATAGTGATTAGGAGGGTGGCATTGGCCCCCATGGCCAGGAGGAAAAGCAGGCTCAGGGGCAAGGAGAGCCAGCGCTGCCAGATTGGAGATCTGACAAAACAGTTCAGTACAAACTCAGAGATTTCAGTTGTTGAGGAGCTATTGCTGGGAAACATCATGGTGTGGGTTCTAAGGGTTCAGTTTTGCCTTGGATCTTAGCATCTGAACTTGGAAATAGGAACACACAACATTCTAGTAGAATGGAGAACTCACTCAACTCCTGTCTTCCTTTCCTCCCAGTGTCATCACTATTTTTTCCTTCTTCTCCGGTAACAGAGGAAAATTTGATTTTCTTCATCACTCAAGCTATCCTCTCCATCTCTACCCTTGGAGTATCCCACTCCAAAACTCATCCATAACTTTGTTTGAATAATCATTCCAATTCTTACACAATATTTTTATTATCTCCTGTT